TAAAGTAAATGATAGCTAGTAATACATATCTATTTATTGAAAGTCGAAACAAAGCGTATATAAAATATTCACAGCCTTTACTTGGGAAAAAGAAAAAAACCCAGTATCACAAAGACCAACTTTAACTTTTGATGACAATGCCAATATAAAAGCACAGCCTTTACTTTGTATTTTTTCTCCAGCTTATGAAGAAAAAAAGCCAATTTTGAGCACTTGCTTTGGCTTTTGAAAGGTTATGATCTTTTCCAAGATAAGAGTAAAATTAACTCAACACATAACGTAACGTACATCTCTCGTTCCGTTCATTCTCAAAAAAGCTAACGTAAAGAACACAGAAGCAACTTCTCTAAACAGCTCAAATTGTTGTCAAGAAAAAAAAAATTGTAAAATAAAGTTTCCAAATTTAAAATTTTGGGTGATCACCTGGAACAGAACATAAGGAGGCTCGTTGTAGATGAGAGGAATAACACGAGCCCCAGCAGATTCAACAAACTTGACATAAGAAGCAGCTATATACGACGCCGTCGAGGCGTTGCTGAGCCGACCAGAGGCGCCGTCGCCGGGATGACTGAGGATGCCGATCACCGGCCGGTAATTGAGCTTGGGGTCTAGAGCCGTACACCTGGTGGAGGGAGAGTCGGAGGGGCCGACTCCGAGTTGACTCGGCAAGAGAATCGGGGACTGGGCCTTGGCCAAGCTGAGCTCCTTGGACAAGGAAATCAGGAAAGGAATCCAGAGGTAGTTCCACATCTCTGACGGTGTCGTTTTGGGTGATCGGGCGGCGTTCAGGTTGTCGGAGGAGGAGGTTGGGTCGTCGGAGTTGGGTGTTGGGGTAGAAGTGGGATTAGTTGGGAAATGGGAGGGCATATTGGGAAAGAGGAAATGGGGAGGTTGGGGTTGACATGGAGGAGGAGGAGGGGAAAGTTAAGTTGAAGAAGTGTTTGTTGAATTGAAACGTGCTGGAGGAGCAGCGAGGGAGCTCAGCTCAGTGCTTTATAGTACGGCAATTTGGAAAACTGAAGAGGAGGAAGAAAGAGAGTGGATTGTGAAGTTACGTGAAAAGGAACCCAACAGAAAAATGCGGAGGCAAATCGTCAGTGGTCATATTATGAATTATGTTTCACAGGGGGGAAATATTTCTGACCGCACGATCACGATAAGAACTTTCCATCGAACGAGAGACATAGACAAGTCTTTCTCCATAATCCCATCTATGTACATTAGATTATGCTTTTTTGAAGATATTTCATATGGACAAATAAAATAGTTGACAAAATTGACGCGAGATTCATAAGTGGTTGTCGTCTTGATATTTGATTACCATTGGGTTAATGTGATTAACATTAAGTTTTATCAACTCATTGTGCTTTTAGGAAGGTTATTACTATTCTTATGATATGCCGAATAAGGGGCTTTTGGAGGGAGTTCAATCTATTAGTCCAATAAAAACTCTGTACTTGATCGAATGACTACTAAGAACCCCTTCAATATAACCCCTCATTGTAGCAGCTATGATGCCAAACTCGAACAAGTTCGATGGGCCAAAGTCGAAAAAAGAAATAATGTAAACGCAATGCTATTAGCCCATGAGCCCAAAGAGACACCAACTTGGGAAGAAGCCCTAATTACCCTCAAATTCCACTACCGCTTGCCCATTTGCTTCTTCGAGGCTTGTTTGATGCTGGAGAGACAGAGAAATGGGACAAATCCGACCTGGAGGTGGTATGTGCACGACTGAAGGCTTCTGATCATTAACAAGAGAAGAAAAATACATCTCCTAATGTTTGAAAGAATGTTACGATCGGTTGGACAAAAAAAAAGAATGTTACGATGGGACGCCCATAACGCACACAAGGGAGGAACTTACCTTAGCACTGCTCATTAGGACATGGATGGACCTCAACAAATTCTGTCATAGGCCCGGTTTGTCCACTCCAACCTGGCCCCTTTTGGGTAGATGGAACAACATGGATTAGAAGAAAAGGATCGGACCCATTTAACATAACAAAACTCAATTAGGACTTATTCTTTTTCGATGAATATCTTAAGTATTTGGATTTGGAACCGGCCATTTATAAACTATAGATTTCTACTGCATATTATAATACTAGGCGACACATCATAAATTTTATTCAAATACAAATGGGTTAAGTAGCTTTTTTTAATCTATGTGTGTCGAATTTTTAATTTGGTCTATGCATTTTAATTTAATAATCATTTTCGTCAACTTACTCTAATTTTATTGTAATTAATGAGATTTTAATTCGTAACACCATGTCAGTGTGTTATGTAGTGTTATTTTCACTCATAATTTTTTTTTTTTTTTTAGTACAAGAGAGAGTTTAAACTAGAGGGGAGTGAGATTTCTCTCACACACACAAATGATGCCATATAAATTCAAATTTGAGACCTCTTATCTGCAAATCAAAACCAATACATGACGTCTTGTGTCAGGGTCAAAGTTTGCAACGCACTTAAAGTGAAATGTCTTACATCTACGGCTCATCCTTTCCTCAACTATAAAATAGAAACCATGTGAACAACAACTCCATTAGTTCCCCAAGTCCCAAGGTTCAAACCCGAAGTCCATGTAAAAGCCAGAAAGGAATATATACCAACTTTTAATTGATCACAAATGTCCACAGCACTATGATACTCGTTTCAGCATTAATATTACCAAAAAGGAAGAAGTCATATTTTTTAAGGTTTTCCGGGGTGTTGGTTTCCTAGCTGTCTAAGTTTGACCAGCTCGAAGAAAGAGTCACCCGCCACACGTATGCACACTGGGCCTGAGCTTATAAATTGAACCATGGCGCCCTATTTTAGAACTCACAAGCTACTGGCTATCAGGCTTAATTTGATTTACTTAGCAAATTAAGCTGTAAAACATACATATATTTCTTCATTAAATTTGCTCGCCATGGCTCTGGTTAACAGCTTCATCATGCCAAAGACCATGCTCCAAATGCCCATTAATTCCAAGCCCTGCAGCCTGCACAATAAGATTGTGATTATGTGAGTGACATATGAATATATATCTCCCTCTAAACTCTCTCTCTCTTCTTTCAAGCTAGGTTTGATTTATAATATGAATCTTTGATTATCAGACGATGCGCGGCGGCGAGAAGGAAAATCACTGAAGGGCCTCCTTCGCAAATTAACCAGGTACTTAGCGTCACTAGCAGGAGTCTGGGAACTGGGCAGGTGAGCCTCAGGAGCAGCAGCTTGACTGGAGAAGATGGAAAAACAAAGGAAGGAAATGCCATTGTTGATGAGGTTAACAATACAACCAAGACTGCTGATGATGCCAGTGATTAATAATATATGCATGGATTGTTAATAGGTGAATTAATCTGCAGGGAAGGTTTGTAGTTATAATATTATGGTGGCTAAGCATGCTTTTGTGTGGCTAAATGTGTGACTTGTTAGCACATTAATTATGTACTTGATCATATATATAAGTTCTTCTTAATTAATGATATGTTATGTTTTAGTTTTCCATATGGCATATGCGATGAATCTATATGCGCAAACGATTTGGTTTTCATGTAAGCAAAATGTGTGCCAAATTAATTAGCCAAAGGAGCCACTCTAATTTAAAGATTCATAATTTTAAGGTTGTTTTTGTCAATTTCTAAACGATAAAAACTAAAATATAAACGTGTGTTAGGCGAGTTGGTCAATCCTCTTCACCCTATATCCAATTCACTAATGAGCACAGCAACATCATACCGTGCATGTCATAATCAGTTAATTTTTTTTAATGATAAAAAAATAGTACTGAAGCAATGTTTGGTAGCATTTCAATCGATATAGTACAGATCAGATGGGGACAGGTCCCCACCATTAGCAGATTAAAACAAAGAAAATGTGTTCATTATTACCCAACGTGAATCATGTGAATGAACCACCTACAACCTTTCCTATATATTTGTTTACTATCCTGTTTGTCTCATTTTCTTTTTTGCCTCTGGCTTGAGTACAGAGTAATTCATGAACATTGATTAGCACATAATAAGTAATGGTCAACTTATTTATGAACTAGACCAATATATATATACACACACACTTAACGAAATTTTTTATGTTAAGTAATTTTCTGTTGTGATTTTATATGCGATCAGTCCATCCATATTATAACACATCTTGCATGTAATATTACGTGACGGTGTTCCAATCACAAGCAAAATCAAGCCCAACTTGCTCATACCAAATACCATTTGTTGCAATTTTGCCTATAAAAATTAGCCTCTCATGAATGCTTTTGAGAAAATAATTGATGCACTAGCTACTTTTGTTCTTTATTACCTACAAGTTGTTGCTTCTGCAAAAGAAGGTAACATACATGTATCATATACCATGCATTGCATTCTATAGTGATAAATTTCGAAAAGAAAAAAAAAACCAACAAAGGGAGTTCATCATTGCAGGGGCAATGATGAAGTTAATTAAGATAATCCTGAAATAATTAATAAGGAAGCCCCCTAATTGTTGTTAATTAATTAACAGAGGTGGCCCATGAACAACCCTAGAAAATTAAGCACTACGAGTCATGGATTAAATCAACGGTCAAAGTCATTCTTTGCATGTTTGTGCCAGCAGTGAGATGACATTGATTCAATCCAAGTTTGACTGCCATGGAGCAAGTGGCAGACAGTCAATATTTGAATTAGTGTATAAACCAACCAAAAGGTTTGGGCAGAACCTCACATTGGTTGAGCTAAGTGTCTAATTAGTGTAATTATATATACTTTTCTATTGAAGTTTCTTCCAAAATACACTGGATGTGATGAATTATAATCATAAAGAATTCTCATAATCTTATATAGGAGAATATACGTGTACACCCAACTCAATCATAGAGAAAGAATATACAGGACAGGACCTTATCTTTCTGTGTCCAATAGGGGAAAAAAGGGAAAGGGAAAGGAAAAGAAAGCAGAACGAAGGGTCCAGTTCACCTAGACTAGAAGCCATGCATATTCACTTTGGCCCTCTCTATAAATCCGAGACTTCTTCTCACTTAGAATATCCACATGCAATTAGTGAGCTGATCACTCTAAATTACTGAGAAGATCAGCAGAGATAGGGAGTTAATTTCTTCAAAAATCGACCGATCAGCGGATCATGGCTCTAAGTATGCCTGGCTTGATCGTCATGCCAAAGATGAACATGGTCCAATCAATTCCCAGTTGCAAGTCCTACCAACATCAAGCCATGATTATGTAAGTGATCATGTTTAATTTGTTTTCTAATTTGTGCGTTTACCTTTATATATATCTCTGAAAGATTATGTAAGCCATGATTGTATTGGTTTATATATGTGCAGCCTGCAGCCTCACCACGACCGTATGCATGCCAGGAATATTAGTCACTCCATAATGTACGGTGGTCTCCTTAATTTGCGTGCATATATGAGTTATTTAGTTTTATTTTTCCTGGTTACCGTCGCACTAATAAATTACTGCACTTAGACCCTTTTATCTATAAAATAAATATTATGATGACGATTTGTGAAAATATGTGTTATATTAGAGAGAAATAAACATCTTACTTTGTTGGTTAATTATTGTACTTGACTGATCACTGATCTTGGATTGTATATTGTTGTTCCATAAGATGTGGAGCTGAAAGGCCAGGGATCAGCACAGGGAGTGGTGGACAAATTAATGGGACGAGGGGGTTGAGGGAGCAGAATGTTTCTGATCTCACCAGCTCAAAGACTGATCAGAAAGATGGCAAGAAAAGCAAAGAAGATGTTACTGCTACTCCAAAAAAGACTGGTTCTACCAATTGAAAACATATTATCGACAATGATATCGACACTTTCTGATAATCCGTCTTCTAATAAAGAACGGACGTGCTATGCAAAGAAGAACTGGGATATATATAACATTCTAAAATAGCTATGCTTTTTAATAGAGAGAGTAGCTTGTGAGTAAGATGCATAAGTCTTCCTTCGATCCGGCGGTCTCAACGCGAAGCTCAAAGATGTCTGAGAAGGATATGGCAATTAAAGTAGATGTCATGTTAATGGTAGAAAGCATATTGTATGCATAAATAATAATCATATTAATGGTAGATGTCATGTTTAATGGTTCCTATAAATAATAATCATATGATTAGTGATGTGTTTTAGCCTGAGTACAATGAATTAAGTTAAGTCGGCCCACCTTCCTCTCTCCCAATGATATATAATTTTTCGATAGAGGAATTTCTGAAATAAATTTATTTGAAGAACACTTAGTAGGATCGAAATGATAAAGTCGGAATTTTCATACTTTACGAGGGCCTCACAGAATATAAATTTTTTTTTGGACTTGACTGAATCGTCCACGCACAAAGATACGATCCAGATCTAATTATCTTTTGACAGTCAAGTCAATGTTATGGGGCTTTTGAAAAGCTTGGGAAAGACTAATCAAAACAAACCACACAAAAGTCACACACATAGGTGATCATGAATTCGCACATTAGAATTTCACACATATACAACGATAATATGCAACCTTGGAATGCAAGTATGTCATAATCATAAATAAAAACAAATAGGATTACCACTGAATTTCTGTTAATCAGTTCCCCAGTGCATGCATGGTTTAAAAAACTTTGGTCGTCAATGGGAAAACAAAGAGGACCGTAGGATATGCCAACTTAATTCTGTTGACTTGGATCCATCTGTATTTCAGTGGTCTTTACATTGAATATGAAAAGTTCTGAAAAGTTTTCCACTAACCCCGACAGAAAAACAAAAAGCAAAAATTATTGGATTAAAGAGGGTCATCCACACGTTGACTTGGTTTAACATTATTAGTATTACTATCAATTCAATTATGAAAAGTTACCTGCCAATTTCTACATATTTAACTTTGAAGAACGAAAAAGAAAAAGAAAAATTAGTAGTTTAATTAGTAAAATACGGAATGGGAAAAGTATGAATAATATACGTAAGTGTTTTATTAGGCAAAATTTTGGCGAGATACAACTAAAAACTTCGCGCACTGTATAATATTTTAATATATATTTTTAATAATATTGGAAAAATACTTGTATAATACATGAGTTTAATCTGTATTTTGTAAAAAAAAAAAGTGTATTAAATATAAAAAATACGTACGTACGTGTTTAATATGTGTATTGTATGTTTGCTTAAAAAAAATTATATTTTACTGAATCTTTAAGACGTGTACGGAAAATAAAAATATTATTAAAAAATACATATGTACATATATAATTCAAGTATTAAACGAAAAAAATACTAAAACAATCTTTTACACATACGTAATTTAATTTGTTGCTGTTGACTTCTCCAAAGGATTGCAAACCAAATTTGAGAAGTCAGACCTACCCCTCAAGTGACTTTTTCATTTTTTGACATATATATAAATAATAGCTTTCTAGAAATATCATATAAATAATATGAATGACATTTATAGCATAAATGTAGTAATAAGTTATCGATGCATGTAGCTATCAAGCTAGCTAGACACAAAATATGTACTGTACACACACATACATACATTATATATAAGCATGTAATCTAACACAAGTAGGAAAGTTTCAAAGTCGTTCTTGGCGTAGGACCTCAGTTGACGGGAAAACAAAAGAGGAAATTAATGGATTAGGATATATTTAAGCTCTTTAATTACCGAAACTTTAATCGTCAATATGGGACATTCTCAACATAATTTTTAAGAAATAATATAATTTTTAACAAATAAGATACCGACATATGTAACGATGAAGGTCATTTGATAAACCAAGTCATGAGACTCCAAGATTATTGTAGTTGGCGGATCCAGGAATTTTCCTGAGAAGGGGCAACATTTAAAAGGCTAAAAGCCAAAAAAAATTCCCGAATTATTCGAAAGAGGATTTAGGGTTTATGGTTATACAAACATAACCAAATCATAAAACAAAAATAATCTCTCTAAAATAAACAACAATATTAAAATACATATTATAAAATATATAAAAAACAGAAGGAAAAAAAAACATTCAAACTTGGGAGGAGAGGGATGGATCTGCAGCAAGACACTCAAGAGCATGCAAAGCTTTTGAAAAATCATTCAACGCAAGTATCCCTTGGTCCATTTAATTCCAACTTGGACCCAAGAACACACTCTTCCATTCAGTGGAAATAAGGCTTCAGGTTTGCTCTTAAATTTTTTCTTTTTTTTGGCCTGGCCAAAACGACTTCGTTTGGCCAGGAATTAAAAAACAAAACAAAAGCTGCTCCCAGCGCAGCATCGCAACAAAGAAAAGGAGGTTGCTGGGTTGCTGAGGCATTTATTCGAACAGGTGGTGGGCACCTCCAAGGTAGAGCTGAGGGGCAAACTCCGGCAACTTCAAAGCTTTTTCCGGAGAGGGGAGGTGCAGCTGCACCTCCTTACGCCTCTGTGGATCCAGTAGTTGTAATGTGCAAGAAAACATATAAAAGAGGCTGATCAGCAGATTAGTTGTGATACTTATATTAATTTCCAGCAGTGTGGACTTGTGACTTGACTTAGTCGTCCATGCAAAAGAATTAAGACGGTCTAACGATCAGTAAGTAGATCAAATAATTAATCTCTTCAACAACTAAGTCACTATTCCTGGTCCCGGGATTTTATTACGTATTGTCTTATTAGTCGACTTGGCTAGTTGCCACCCCAATATCTGCTACAATTCATTCCAAGTAGCAGCCTATAAATCATCCCCTCGGGCTCATCTGAAGGTATAGCAAACTTTGTATATCTCTAATTAGTTGCTAAAATGGCTGTTGTTAGAGGCTTCATGTCAAAGGCCATGCTCCAAATTCCCATGTTGAAAACCATACAATGGAAATTTATGATCGTGTAAGTTGATTGGTCTTCCTATACATAGTCATTTTTCCCACATCTTTTCTTTTATCTTTTGGTGCTGAATTTTCCCCTCTTATTTAGAGTTTGGAAAACCATAATTTTTTTACATAGTTTTTTATAATTAAAGGTCATATGAGTAAGGAGGTTGGCATTTCTTACCCCGTTTGGACTAGATTGGAGTTGAGTCCAAACTAGTCCTTATGAGTCTCATCCTATGGGACTTACAAAGCACAATATGTTAGATTGTTGTCATTTTAATAAGTTCGAGTCTTAATATTTATAAGTTCACTAAACAGTGGCCGTTGCACACTAATCCACTCCAATTCGAACCACAAAACATGTAATTCTCATTTCTTTAAGTTCCATTTCACATGTAATTACTTACACTAATTAATATTCCTTTTTATATTTCTTTTTCTTTTGTTTAGAAGATGTGCTCCTGGATCCAGAAGGCCAGGTATTACTACAGGTCCTCCTCCACAAATCAATAGAACCCCTCAAACGAATGCGGTGACGGATGAGGACAGGCCAGTTATTACCACAGGCCCTCCTCCACAAATCAATCAAGTACCTCATAAGAATGGTGCGACGACGGACGAGGAGGAGCAGAATGGTGCCAATGGCTCAAATCGAAAACCGATTCCAGCACAAGTTGTGAAGAACCTCTGATTAATGAATAAGCTTATAGTTCTCTTGCTGCTTGTGATATTGGTTAACTTTTAAAGTCTTGTGTTACAAATTCAATTGTAATCTTATATCTTTGAGTTTTTAAACTCTCAACCGTATAAGATAACATTTGGATTTTGTAATATGCTGACTCAAATTGAAAATCAAGTAATGCCAAGACAAAGCAAAAATCCCAAAGTAACTGAATCCTCTTGTAATAGCTGTGACTAGCTAAGAATAAGAAATAGAAATAGAAAAAGGAATATTAATTAGTATAAGTAATCCTCTTTCTTATTCTAACGGAATCCTCTTTCTTTCTTGTTTTATTTTCTCTTTGCATCCTTTTGTAATTCCCCCAGTTCATTTTTATGTTTTTTTTTTCCCATTTTGTTTGCCAATAAACTCTGTATTTCTTGATTCCGTCAATTTATGATGATTTGAAATAAAGATTGTGTATGTGTTTGATTGGATGATCGGAGCAAAAACTTTCCACTATTTAACTTTAAGACTTTTAAAATTTATTTTATTTGCAAAGTCTTCCTAAAATTTTACTCGAAACAAAAGATTGTGGAATTAAATAGTGAAAAGCCAAAATTATCGGGCACTCTTTTTCTTGTCTGGCTACAAGCTCTATAATTTAACCTAGCTCTAAAAGTCCTATTTATAATGTATAGGACTTTTGCTACAAGTTAACTAGGAATAGGAAACTAAAACCCTTTTAAATTAAGCTAGAGAAAACCCCAAAATAATAGGAAAAACTATCCCAAAATGCAAAGGATCCGCGCTAGATTCACGACGTCCGCTCGAGCGCCTAGGCTTGGGCATAAAATAGTCTCTTTGCCGCTTGAGCGCCTGTAGCTTCCGCTCGAGTGCCAGAACCCAGAGCACTGGTTTGAAACTCATTTTTCTACCGTTTCTTTTTCCTCCTTTCACATCTATGGCAAGCCAACTTTAACAATCCTATCCCAAAAAAAAATTCACACCACAATCAAACAAAAGAGATTCACAAACTTTCAAGGGCAATGAACCAAGAACAATATACCCAATTTTTTTTTTTTCAGAACAAGATACAATGAACCAACAACAATATACCCATTTTCAGAACAAATAGAGAAAAATTCATCAGGAAACATATTTAAAGAAAAAACAAATTGGCATTTAGGAATTGATAGAAACCAAGAGCGAGAGGGCTACTGGAACGAAGAGGGAGAGAGAGGAGACAAACCAACCTAGATTCTGCTAAAATAAAATAAACCTTAAAACCCAAGTACGAAATAAGGGATTGAATTCTTGAATTGGATACTTACAAAGCAATCATAGCTCATCTTCCTAAATAAATCTAGGTTTTTCTTAAGCTTGCTTGTGTTCCTTTGTAATAATATTTTTCTACTTAGTGGATTGCTTGGTTGGTTGATGATCCCCAGTTTTTCCTAATGGTGGGTTTCTGGGTGAATAATTTATGATTGCATCTGTAATTTTTCTGTGTTTGTGTTCTTGGTGGTTGACTAGTCATCGTATGAATTCTGGGTTTGTATTCTTGGTGGTTGACTAGTCATCATATGAATTCTGGGTTTGAGTCCTTGTAGTTGACTACTCATCATTATATGTTGTTTGGTGTTTACTTGATTATGATGATTTCACACACTTTTACCATAGTTGTTGCTAGCACAGGGGATATCTAGATTGACGGGTCCTTCTCAGTGCATAGTTTGTCACTAGTAATCTTCTTGGGTTGCAAGTATATTGTGGCATACTCTGTGTGTATTCTGGATTGTGGCTGTTCATGACTAACAGTTGACTAGTCATAAGTGTTTTTGGTCAAGGTCTAAAGTGTGTGAAGATTGTTGCGTTTTATTTAAATGTCGTAAAATTAACCCCTCGTCACTTAAGTACCAATTTCAATTGGTATCAGAGTACGAGCTCTTAAATAAATAGAGAGATCCTTTGGGTGCTAATTGGTATTAGGTGTGTAAACATAAAAATGAATCAAATTACTCCTTGCATTCATGATGAGCTTGCCTTGTTTGTTAAGAAATATAGAAAGGTTGTCAAAGATAAAACCAAAGTCACTAGGAATTATCAAAATCTTCCTAGTTCGTCTACATGTGTGTCTCAAGACAATGTTTTTATGGAGAGAAATTTTTTGAACTCTTATGGCTTTAAGGAGGACAAAAGTTTGAAGGGTCTTGTAAAATGCTATCTATGTGGCGGTGATGGTCACATTGATGTGGAATGTGAAAATAACCAGATGACAGAGTCTAATGAGAGAGAAGAGTCAATTAGTGCACAATGGACTGATAGTGATAGTGATGATTCCAACAACTATATCACTTCATCTTATGAAGAGGCAAATAATTTTGCCCTTCTTGGTTCTGTTCATAACTCTAGCCTTACTAGAGTTCATGTAATTAAGGAAGAATGTGTGTCTGGAGATGATAGACAGGATGACCAGTCATATAGGCAGGATGACCAGTCATATAGGGAACAAGATGACCAGTCATACAAGGAACAGGATAACCAGTCATACAGGGAACTATGTGAAAAGTATGATATGCTTTTCAATGAAACCTGTAATTTCAAATAACAGAATCACATGATGGAAGAAAAGGTCAAGGAACTTGATGAACTGAATGAAACTCTCAAAATGGCAAAAAAAAAAGTTAAGTGATAGCTTGGATGAGAATGAAGTTGACACATATGAATTGTATCATAAAGTTAGCACTCTTGAAAAAGAAAATTCTAATTTGATTAAGAAGTTGAATGTACTTGAAAATGACAAATCCTTGTTTCTTCATGGACTGATTTTATTTGAGTTTGAAAAGTCAATAGTTGAGCATGAAAAGGTAGTCGTGCATGATAAGTTTGTGGTTGAAAATTCTGTTTTGCAATGCGTGTTATTTGAGAAAGACATTGAGGTTCAAAACTTGTTTGAGATGATAAAATCACTTTAAAACAACATGGTTAAACAATCTGAATCTTTTGATGCTTTCCAATTTGAAAATATAAGATTGGAACATGAACTTAAGTTGGAAAAAGAAAAGATTCAAGTTTTAACCATTGATGCTAGAAAGATTGATAAAATGCCCAATTTTGGAAAATTGTTTGGTGATAAAAGAGGTTTATGATATATAAATGAGTCTTCTACACCTTCATCATTTGAGACAATCTTTGTCAAAGATGTGTCAACTTAAGAAGCTCCAAAATTTGTTCATGGTCTCAACTTGGGTTTCAATTCCATGAATATTGTTTCTAAGGGAAAGTTGTCTCCTCCATAGTTCAAATTTGTGCCTACCTGCCACCATTGTGGTGTGAAAGGACACATTCGACCTAGGTGTCATATCCTTAGGATTGAGTCTCAAGTTTCCAAAGAAAGTGAGTTTAAGACTCATGTGTCATCTTTTAAGGGGTATGCGGCTGCAAAGTCTGTGGTTTGTACAAGTGATAAACATTCTTCACTTGCAAAATTTGGTTTTCAACAACCAAAAAGGTTCATTCCTATATGCCATCATTGTGGCACATTAAGACACATTAGACCAAAATGTTTTAAGCTTAGGAATTTTGAGCGAAAGCCTTTTGTTCATTTCAAGAAAGTAAATGATAACTCACTTCAAACTCAAAGTGAATGATCTTCTTTATAAAGTTGTCAAAATTCATAAGGTGATCTCTTTGTCTTATAAAGTCTCAAAAGTGAAGCAAGTTTGGATCAAGAAGGAAGACCATGTTCTTCCTCATATTGGTGACTAGTTTCTTTATCATATGTATCTAGACCATTCTCTTGTTTGTGTGTGCTTCATGGAGTCTAGATACATTGTCATGCATATGCACCTTACTTGTTCTTTTTTTTTTATTAGGTTTTTTTTTTTAAAAAAAAATGTTGTCATTGCATGCATTTCTTTTCATCATCTCTCTCACAGTGCTTTGAATCTTGGGTGATCAACAAAATTTCATGTTCTTTTGAACTTGTTTGCATTTATCTTGTTGGTCTTGTCCAAACCTTTTCCCTTGGTGCAAGGAATACATCAGTCTTTGTAGATGACTTCTTTGGGTTTATTTGGGTCTCATTCTTGCTTGAAAAATCAGAAACCTTTCAAAGGTTTAAATATGTCTGCTATCTTTTACAAAAAATTAAGATGACTAGTCATCTGCTAGAATTAGAACAGATCATGGTTCTGAGTTTGAGAATTCTCAATTTCTGAAATTTTGTGAGGAGATGAGAATTAAGCATGAGTTCTCTGCATCTACTACACCTCAGCAAAATGGTGTTGTGGAGAGAAAAAAATAGAGTTCTTGTTGAGATGGCTAGGGTGATGCTCAACAACAAAAATTTTGTTGAACATTTTTGGGTTGAAGTTGTAAATATAACTTGTTACATCTCAAACAGGGTGTTTTTGAGGTCTGGTACCAAACAAACTTCTTATGAGCTTTGGAAAAGTAAGAAACCTAATGTGTCTTATTTTAGTCTTTGGTAGCACATGTTATATCTTAAGAGATAGGGAACACCTTGTTTAGTTTGACTCTAAAAGTGAGAAAGAAATTTTTCTTGGGTATTCCACTTCAAGTCGAGCCTATAGAGTATACAATTATAGGACCGGAACCATCATTAGTCTTTTATCTCGTATGCTTGAGGGAAAATCTTCAGGTCTGGATCTAGTGGTTGACCTGTTAACCTTTAGCAAACCGATTGACCTGTCAACTCCTGACAATTTTGTTCCAGTTGACCTGTCAACTTGTCATAATCAACCTCAGAATCCCAACTCATCTGTCCCGGTTGAAAACTCTCTATAGAAGCATGGTAGCAAGTCTTCTCTACTTGATTGCAAGTAGAACTGACATTTCTTATAATATAGGAGTTTGTGCTAGGTTCCAAAGTGATCCCAAAAAGTCTCATATGTTTGTTGTCAAAAGAATCATAAAATATGTTAGTAGAACCATTGATTTTGATTTGTGGTATACCTATAACACTAGTGTCAATCTTGCTAGGTATGGCAATGCCGATTGGGTAGGGTGTAGTGTTGATAGGAAGAGTACTTATGAGGGAGTCTTTTATGTTGGCAAAAATCTTGTTGCTTGGCAAAGAAAAAAAACAAAACTTTGTGTCATTATCAACTGCTGGGGTTGAGTTTGTTGCAGGTAGAAGTTGCTGCACTCAACTCCTTTGGATGAGACAAATGTTGGAAGACTATGGTCTTGCTCAATCATGCTTTCTAATCTATTGTGACAACATGAATGCCATATATATTTCTAAAAATTCTG